ATAAAACACGATCTCAGTCGCTTTTATTGAAATAATTATATTTATATTTCATCGGTTAATTTCTGGTTTGATTTAATTTTAACATTGTTATCCTACATAGACAAAAGCTAAATAATGTCGACTAAAGTTGCAACGTCAAGAAAACTCAGCAGAGCATAATCATATAATTTCCTTTTTCATAATTTAAATCATTGCCTAAAATAAAATAAAAACTGTCAAACTTGAATCGATGTCAGATATATTCGGACAAAGATTTAAGTTGAATAAACAACTCATTGTCTATCTTTATATAATCAGTGGGGTATTTTTTCATCTTTTCCAATTGTATCACAAGGAATACATGAAAACTACATTGATTATGAAAACAAACTAACTTCTTAATGATTAAAAAACCAACTAACTTCCAAATTCTTTTAAAACAACAACCAACTTCCAGATAATGTGCAAAAGTGTTTCATGTAATGTTTGAGCATTTAGGAAAATTAATGAGGATAACGATTTCAACTGTGAAGGTAAAGCATACATAATACCAATTTGGACAAGACTGAAACTATAACATATGCTTATAAATGTATACATATAAGACGTTAGTCAATTTGTCATATGGAGTGGTTTATTTTTCCAGTGATGCTCTGCCTGGCAACTGTGTGTCTTATATTTGTAGTTCAATTAATTTCTACCACATCACATGGTTGGCTAGTAATTTTTGTAACAGGCTAAGTTATGCTAGTTGTTTTCAAAGATACCACACTTTTTGCAAAGAGAATATTTAATTGTTTTGCAGAGTGAACATGGTAAACACCAATCAACAAAAAAAACAACAAAAAAACAAAAAAAAAACAAAAACAAACAAACAAAAAACAAAACAAAAAAAATCTATTACATGTCTGTTAAAGTCATTTTAAAAATAATTCTGTAAAATTTCAGATTTCTGTTACATCTTCAATTGATATTTCGAGATATTCTATTCATGTGCTTCACGTCAACTCGTAAACAAGCACAAAATATTTTAATACCATTGTCGTATATTTCTGACGATATTTCGACTTATTCAAGATACATTCGTATCATCCGCTTTCAGGTATAGTCCACCACTGTGAAAATTATAGTTAATAAGTTTTACTTAGTCAATGAGTTTAGGATATTTAACAATATGTATGGTACCTTTTACACTTTCCGTAACAAGAGGTGATAATCAAAGAAATCAGAGTTAATAAAGATATGTAGGTTGAAATGTCCTTATTGTTATGACTAGATTATTTTGGTCTTACAAATAGTTAAAATTCAAGAACATAATAATAATAATAATAATAATAATAATAATAATAATAATAATAATAATAATAATTATAATAATAAAACGTGAGAGATCAACGGTCGGAATCTCAATTTTTTGGGCTACAACTCCACGTATGTCGACAAATACGTCGACCATAATAAATTAATACTGGCAAAAGGTTTAGCTATATATGGTCGACGGCTATATGTTGGTAGTCATGTCTTATTTCTAACTTTTGTTATCTGGTGTTAAAAAATAGAAAGCAACTCTAAAACAATAAACTATATACAATACCGTCTGTCATTAGTGTATATGTAAATTGTATCATTTGTAATTGTACAACATGAACGCCTTAATACCAAATGTTTCTCCAGAATCTAAGAATAAATAGATTCTCTTGAAATCCGTTAAATACAGGCATTCTTTTCATTGTAAAAAGTTGCCCCGTACTTCACTTCAGTGTTGTTATATTTTCTGGTCCTTCGGGATCATTGATGCCAGCACTATTAAGTGTTGAGAATTGAGTACCGCTCAAGCCGGTGCTAGGGGGCGTGAGGGATGTTGCACTTATTCATTATCTCTCATGTACAGACTCAATCAAACGAGTCTGCAATCTTAATACGTAAATGTTTCTCCGAATCTAAGGAAGTAAATAGATTCTCTGAAATCACTGTTAAATACAGATTCTTGTATAGTTATAATCTAGCATTTTTTGTCAATGATAAATGTATTTTCTACGCAAAGCAGAATGTTTTTGCAAGATTTGCGTGCATCATCAGTAACTCGTGTCTTTTTTGTATTAATTTATCTTCCTTGTTACACTACACCATTTCCATAAATACTACAGATTTGATTATAAACATAAATCCTAGTTTTATCTCGAGCTTTCATAAGACCCCGCAGTTTATAGAAAATGCTAGAAGCTTTTGTACATTCATCATATTACAATACGTATTGAGCATCATTTGCAAAATAAAATGGCACAATAGTTTACCTCTTTTTACATGTATTTTGAACCTTTGTTACTAAAATTTAGTATCAAAATTACCAGATATCAAAGTGCATGTGAAATGAAATGACAGAATTTGTAAAGTTGATGGCGATAGCTCGTGTTGTATGTCGCTCGCTTGACTAAGTGCTTTTACTTTGATTAACATAATGAGTTGATTTGCAATGGTATTTTTTCTCAAATATAGTTAATGGTTTATTATATGATTTGGGTGATGAAAGACGTCGTTAACACAAGTTACAATTGCAATTACCTATACTTCACTGTTTTCATTGTCTGAAAGGCTATAAATTGTTTCATTATTTCATTTTCCAGGCAATTTTATATTCGATATTGTCATCAAATATAGTACTGGTTGGTTTGATATTGAAGTAGTTTAAATTGTCGGAAAAGCTATTAAACCACAATATTTAAGGTTCTGATATTTGTTCAGGTTTGCAAATGTCGTGGATGCAATGCATGTTTACTATCTGTATCGAACAGCTTTGGACAAAATCGGTATGTGTTTGTTTCTTCAGACATGGATAATGGTCCATAAAATAAGGGGTCTGCCTCCTTCATTAAAATATTAAATATAACCGGTACCCCAAATGTCGAAGGTTAAACCACCAGAAAACACTGATTTATAATTTGGTTGGCAATAGTTGATTTAATACTGATAGCACAATCAATACTCGTACTAATATATAATAAGGTATTCCAGTACAACTGATACGGTATATGGTAAACAAAATCAAACTGCCAGCCGTCAACAATCATTCTAAGATAATCTGCAGAAATCAACTGTCTGATTTTATAAAATATACAATATATAGATAAGCATTTATTTATATTCATATTTGCGTAGCTGTTTGGTTTATCAAATCTAACCATGCATGTTGGTGTATTAAATATCACCATGCTTTTAAAGAGATTTAAAATCATTTTGTTGCTTATAATGGACAGAATATCAATAAGTTTATATTATAATACTTCTCATAGCGTTTCCAGCAAACTCGAATGTTATTTTCTTATTTGTAAAAGATCAACCTAAATTTCAAAAAGGAAACTTTCATCGAAAGTAACAATATTTGCAATTGATCAATATCAAATATCTTATTTGAATTCTTAATTAATCTATTTAATAAGTTATAATATGTTTAGAGAAAATCGATATTTATTTTTACTTTCCAGTAAATAATTAAAACTAAATTTCAAATAACCTTATAACATGTTCACTATAATTAAGTCTTGAAAATATTGTCGTATTTCACCAGTTTCGAAAAAATATTCAATTAATAACTAATAAGCAAAAACTATTTTGTAATTATGATATATTGAACACGATACATTAAATCTTTCCTAACAATTCACTGCACCTGATGCCACAATATTTACGATGCTTGCTATGTAAAGTACATAGAATGATGTTTATAACAGGCATTCAGAAATCGTCTTTAAAGCAGATGCTATAGGAGGCTGTTGCAATTGTAATTGTGTGCACGTGCGGTATAATAAAATGTTATATTATATATCCTACACATATCAAGACAACACACAACACTACTACACTGAGAAATCAAAATTGATATAAAAGTTAGAAGCATGCAATGTTAACGTTTTATTGGCACATAAAATATCATATTTTGAATCACTCCTGTTTTCAGTGATACATTAATTTGCAATCGATATGATTAAATGCTTTTGCTTTCCTGACATTGGAAATATCATGTTTTACAAATTGTCCAACAGACGTTTCCAGAATAATTTCTGATTTAGCTTGTTTCAATAACAAGATAGTCATGTAATTTAAATTAAATGAAGTCAATATTGTTTAAATGCAAGAAGAAATGACCGACTTCGCCATACATCTTTGCCACATGAGCAGCTAAAGACAGGTGATTTGCAATTGATTTGAACTAATCATTTATATTTTCTATATAATTAAACTCACTGGTTTGCTGTTACATACGCTCCCTTCGCAGCTTACTGAATACAGTGAGCGATAGTGGAATATTCGACCGATGCGCAGGAGAGTAGCTGTTACAGGAAACGATAACGAGGACAATGGCTTTAAGGTGGTGAATAAACATTAAATATATGAAAAAAGAAGTACTTTATATATCTATTAAGATACAATTTCAAAACCTATAGACAAATAGTCCATTTAATTGTATTGTGACGAAAGGCAATTCTACTTAGGGAATGTGACTTCCTTCATTTTCCATTTTCATATAATCATGGTTATTTGGAAAGAGATTGATCACTATCAGCATGACGAAGCGGCTGAAAGCAAGAAAACACTTATTAGCTCAAGACAAACAAGTCTTTTTTGGCATTATTGGATTTTATTTACAGGTTTACATTGACGTCAAGTATCTACTGTCTATGTACAAATATATAATATATATATAACATTGCTGTTATTTACTGGGAATTCGTTGCAAACAATCATGATGAGATAAATACATACATAAAACATTCAAAGCTTGCTCCTAAGAAAATGTGTAAAATTTTAAGTCGAAAGTATATATGTATACTTGTTATGACAATTTGATATTACAATTAGAATATATGAAACTTGCCCGAAACAGGCATTATATAAATGTTTTTGCATTAACTTAAAAAAAATGATTGTTAATCAAATATGTTCTCGGGAGCAATATCAATATGCATACTTTTTATGTCAACTTGTTATTTCAATTAGTCAAAGCATTTATGAAACTTAGAGCTAGATATTCCCGTCTGTACCAACAGCCGGTGTTTGATTCTTTTTCTTGCATATTAAATATCAATTTTTTTTTCGGAACAGAATTATGAAAAATATTCTCATTACTCACTTTTTTCTTATAGCAGCGTATGAACATACAACTTCATTCATAACGGAAAAATGACGTCATCCTAAGAACGCGATTCATTCATAAAAGTCGCGCGTCAATGACGTCATTTAAAGCACGTGACTTATCTTACATGGGGGTGTAAGACAGAGTTTCCTAGCACCGGTGTAGACGGTAGATAATCCTGTCTGAGATGCAAGAAACATAGTGTAAAGGCGCGCTTAATGTTAGCGTTCTACTATAGGCGTCAATGGAAAATGACTATTATTTCAGTTTAAACGGTCTTTATTTCGGGTATGTGACAAATATAATTTTATTTTGGGTATGTGATAAATAGAATATCAAATTCGTGTAAGTTCATTACTGAATTTATTGCACTCGTTGAATAAAAAAAAATATTATGCTCCCCAGAGGCTCGCATAATATCATTTTATTCAACTCGTGCAATAAATTCAGTATTGAACTTACACTCATTCAATATCCTCAATGTCTTATTTGTTGGATTGGGGCAGGTTATATGCGGTAGCACCAGATGCGCTACTAACACGAGTTGTCTAGGCAAGAGTGAAAATATAACAGCCTGTGCGGGCGGGCAAAATGTGCTTTCTCTTGCATGTAAGACAAACAAGTTTCCTACTGCTTTTATGCTTGTGTTCTAGATTCGAGAGACTTGACCTTTGACATGTAATGTCAAGTGATTGCAACTTTTGCATTAAATTATTAAATAACATTGCCATTTTATGTATGTTATCTGAAACTTTCCCTGAATTTTGTTAAGTGTTAAAAATAATATCCATTTTCTTATGTACTACTTGTAATGTAACGCTATTTTCTGGAAAAAAAAAATTGTAAGCGAACAGCAAGGATCCTGGTCAGGCTGAGCTGATGCGCATGCTGGTGTGGATCCATGCTGGTCGCAAACCCATTTTGTTGGATTTGTCATGATGCGGCTCAATTATCATCTCCGAAGTCCAAGTGTCTTATAAAGCATACAAAAAAGAAATATGATATACTTTTGTTGCATATCTATTTGCTGTATGATAATTATACACAATTATAACAACATGACAAAATAAATTTAAGCACTTTCTAGCCTTATACAGTTATATATATGAATATAAAACAAGCTTCTGATCTATGTGCGTGAGTTTGAACTTTCTTCTGATATCAGTTGTTTGTAATGTCATTGCATAATATGTCAGTTTTATGTCCTACTAAATTGAATTTAATCAATTATATACTTACAACCCTACTTTTAATAAAATCATTTAAGAAATGTAAATAAAGTAAAATCTCTGTATTAAAGCTACAAACGGCATTGGATAAAAGTGGTTTTAATAGTAATTTGGTCTTAGTAGTGAATTGGCCGCTTTATAAGGTTGCCTTTGCGCATGCAATTTTGGAACGCCAGGTGTTAGGATATTAACCATAAATGAGCTTTTCTAAATTTCCAGTGTTCTACAAATCGTCGTAGTCTTTGTGTAATACAAGTACAAAAATTAATTTAAGTTGACCCTAATTTGATATAAGAAGTGTGTTCATACTGATAGTACCTTAAACGGCACAAGTCTTTTATAAACAATTAACAGAACAATAATTGTGATAAAGATATTTGCTGCCATCGCTGTGAATGCAACTCTCGGTCCATATGCATCATACACCTGACTCACAAAGACAGGACCGAGGGTTCGAGCAAGACTGCCTGCAGCCGTAAGCCATCCCATCCACAATCCCTGAAACAGGTTCAAACAAACAGGGACATATAGGAAAGTAGCTACTGATGGAGAAAGTAATAGCAAAAAACATTTTGTCTCAAATGAGAGCAAATACATATATAGAAATTATATAGAAAAATATGTTTTCGTTTGAAGAAATTATAAGAAAATATCTTGCTGAAAATGTTTCTGAATGTAACCATTACTGCGTAGCGATTACAAGATAAATGTTCTCGCTTCTAAATTAGATAAAATTTCACATTCATTAAAACAAAAAAGTGATCTTTTAACTAACATATGTATGTCAATTTATTCAAAACAAACAAAAGTAAATTAATTCTCTTTTTCCTCTTTAACTTTCGAGAAAAATATATACCTTTAACATCATATTGTATTATCAATTACCTGAGGTTTTGGTCCCAAAACCTTTGAAAAGATTGTATAAGATATCACACTGCATGCAGGGTAGCCGATAGAAATAAAGAAGGTTCCAAGAAGATACTGCCACAAGGTGGTCGCCGGTGTGTACGTACACCAGGAAAAATAATACGGGCATCCGACATCTTCATTCTCCAAATCACTTGAATTTCCCCGATAAGCCTGTTTCTTTATTTCCTTCATAATATAACTTTTGTTCAACATCACGTCAATTGGAGATTTTTCAGTGTTTGCATTTAGCTGCGTTAATTTTTGATAAAAATCATTCCTTACATAATCACCACTTTCTTTTATATTTATTGGTAAATTCAAACTAGTGTTTTCTTTTTCATTTAGAATATCGTTGATTTTGTTCAGATCTTTAGTGAAAGAGTCGGTGGTTGATAATGGTAGAGTTTCTTCCCCCGCCAACATCATATGCTGGACAAGTTCTGTTAGATTTCTTTGGTTGTTCGTCACCTTATCTGAAGACAGAGAAACACCTATGACAGAACCATCTTACTGCTCTGGTAAAGTTACATTAATTAAAAGATCTCGTTATCATTTAAAAACCATTAACCCCGATCACGTTAAATGGACTACTTCATCTTCCAAATGTGGACAAAACCATTTATCATTTGTTGAAATTTTGAAGATATTTTGAAGATATAAACTGACTGAATAGCAAAAGTGCAGATCTTGTAAAGACGGCACGCGGATGTTCCGGCATGATTTTAGTATACTCTGGTCACTTGACTAGAATCTGTTACCGCCAGCAGGTGAAGGCTTAAGGAAATTTCTAATCAAATCTATTAAGAAATAAATTATTATTTAATTGAAACGGGAAAGTAAACGTTTAAGTACAAGTTGCTGCTGAATTAAAATAACACGTCCTCATCTATAACTAAAAATGTTCGCGTGCTTATGTATATAGTTTTATATTTTATTTTTATAGTCGGGCTTGCGAGAGAGATTTCGGAGTTTAACAAAACACAAAATGATGATAATAAAGACAGACCTGCGTGTTTGATTTCAGCATATTGTATTGCCGGATAGTTTGATCCCCATGGTAGATAAGAAACGTATCCGAATATACAAATTATAAAGCCAACAAAAAATAAATTTCGTTCATTAAACCTGAAATATAATAATAAAAGAAATTAAGAAGAGTCTGTACATGCCAAGGCAGACGTTCAGTGGGAATATCTGCATAAAGGATTTTATGATCAATCCCAACGAAAGGATCCTGCGGCGTGCGGAAAGCGAACCCAGGTAGCCCGATTCACAGTCCAAGGTTATACCAAATGAGTTTACCCTACATGCAGCTTAGGAATGCTGTTTTTTGTATTATAGCGATATGTGCCTATCTTGTTGTATGTCGCTCGCTTGGTATTTTTTTCTTAAATATATTTAATGGTTTATTACATAATTTAGGTGATGTAAAACGTCGTTAACACAAGATACAATTGCAATTACCTATACTTCACTGACTTCATTGTCTGAAAGACTATAAATTGTTTCATTACTACTAGAATTCATTTTCCAGGCAATTTTTAATTCGATATTGTCATTGAATATTTTACATCATCGCACTGGTTGGTTTGATATTGAAGTAGTGTATATGCTTTACTCTAATTGTCGGAAAAGCTGAGAAATCCACAATATTTTAGGCTGACATTTGTTCAGGTTTGAAAATGTCGTGGATGCAATGCATGTGTACTTTCTGTATCGGATAGCTTTGGACAAAATCGCTTCGTGTTTGTTTCTGCAGACACGGATAATGGTCTATAAAATAAAAGGTCTGTCTCCTTCATTATAACATTAAATATAACCGGTACCCCAAATGGCGAAGGTTAAACCACCATGCTGGTCGCAAACGCACTATGTTGGTTTTGTCGTGACGCGGCTCATTTGATTAACTATCAATTGTTTTGTATGTCCATTTCTTAAATATATGTTGTACACATCACTTGTATAGAGTAAGACGGACAAATACAAATACAAGGACAAAATGATACATAAAAACGATATTCAAAAACACGAATATCGACCACATGACACTATACAGGTTAATGCATCAACATTAATATAATGCCTGTTTCGGGCAAGTTTCATATATGATTATTGTCATAACAAGTATACATATATACTTTGGACTTTAACTTTTACACATTTTCTAAGAAGCAAGCTATGAACGTTTTATGTATGTATTCATCTTAATATCTTAAATGTCTGCAACGAATACCCGTAAATAACAGCAATGTTATATATATTTGTACATAGACAAGAGATCACTTGACCTCAATGTTAACCTGTTAAATACAATCAAATAATGCCAAAAGACTTGTTTGTCTTGTGCTAATAAGAGTTTTCTCGCTTTCAGCCGCTTGGTCATGCTGATTGTGATCAAGCTCTTTTCCAAATAACCATGATCACGGGGGAGGAAGTGTTATACGAAGGATGGAGTTCTTATGATAACTTGTTCAGGAGTTCTTGTGATAACTGTCACGGAGTTCGTCAGAAAACATCTGTATATACTACAAAAACACTCGTTAAAAATGGTTATTTTCATCTTTCAAAAATGAGTTTTAGATGCTAAATTAAACTTTAATGATTAAGCTTGTCTTACATCTTGTATTATGTGTCAAAAACTAATTCACATGCCATTTTTAATCGCCTCTTGCTTCAAATCTGGTAGTTTTCAGTGAAATTTCCAAATTATTTGCCAATTCACAAGTTTTGACCTGTTTATTTCTGGTCTTCATCCTTGCCATACATAATTACCTAATTATAATGCAAAATTGCAAACATAAAGCACCGGCTCACAGATATATACCCGATTTTTCAAATGTTCCGGAGTTCTTGTGATAACACTGAAGATGTCACAGAGTTCTTATGATATCTTTTGTTATTGCCAATGTGTTTCTTGCGCTAAATCACGGCACGTTTTAGCGTTTTTTATTATTCAATAAGATTATAAATCATTATGAAATGTAGTACGCTCATCCTTTGCGCAAATAATAGGATATATAATGTTGGTTTTGAGTGAATTTTAGTTCAAGAGATATTATTTCTCACCCCCGTTTCTTTTTCATAGTATTTTGTTTTGTTTGACGCAGATTTTGTAGACTGGAAAAAGGATTTATATACTGGTTTCCTAGCAGTTTCCAGCTCCTAGCAGTATTCTGGCCCTTTATCATTTTCATCCAGGCATACAAACTGTTTTTTCTCAGTTAAGCATCTATGTTACTGCATCAGTCAGAGAAACAATTGTTTTCTATGTAACACAGCAGTTATAATAGTACAGCGATTAATATGTTTCAAAGTTTTGTCTCTTGTTTTTAGTTACATTAGAGAACTTGCGACACTTACAAGCACACCTGGAGAATTCTAGTTTGAATGCCCATGCACAATAACTGAAATCCCATTCTAGGTAAATCACTACTTTTAAACAATATATTTGCAGACGACACGGAAAAGTTTGGGAAGTTATCTACATGTGTATTTGAAAACCCAGCTTAACATTGCTTATTAATTGGTACTGAATTATATTCAAAATAAAAAAGGTTCGAAAAACTGCTATGAAATTTTGAATAAATGTGAGCAAAGTTGTTACATCTCAGGCCTTTATTCCATCAAAATGTAAAATAAAAAGGCAACATTAACCCATGATAATGCTGGACAGGTACCTAACTTTGTTCTGTCAAAGTTTGCATTCTTTGGTAGACAGATTTTTACTTTCACTTAAAGTGCGATTTGGTGCCGGGAACTGCTATGAAACCAGTAGGGCATTTATGTACGTGATAAAATGCGCTTTGATATACTCAAATATGGTATTTTCATATATATTTCTCTGTCGATGTTTGATGAGTATTTCCCCTATGTAATCTTAGTGGAGGAAACTCTGCTACTTTTGCTGTAATTGATAACAAAAATATATAGTCAAACTTAGTTTGCTTGAACCTGGAGGGACAGTTCAAATTTGTTCGAGAGATCGGTAGTTTATCATGTATCGTACTTTTTTAAGACATAGGTGTGGAAATTATCCTGGTTATATACTTATCTATTATGGTATAAAATGATACAAATTACTTAGCCCTTAGGTAAGGGAAGCATGCCTATATATTGTCTGCTTAAGAAAGGTGGTTGCTTAAAACATGTGAAACTAAGAACAACGTGTACGTTTTGAGACATTTTTGTTTTGTGGTTTAAGCCATTATACTGCTGAATACCAGTGACCGCTGGTTCAATTTTTACTGTAGCTATTTATCCTTTGCAGACACTTAAAACCAACTTTTTATCCACATTTTTGTGCAAAGGATGATCGTACTGCATTTCATAATGATTTATAATCTTATTGAATAAAAATAAACACCAAAACGTGATATGTTTTAGCGCAAGAAACACACTGACAATAACAAAAGTTATCATAAGAAATCTGTGACATCTTCAGAGTTATCACAAGAACTCCGGGACATTTGAAAAATCGATTATAAATCTGTTAGCCGGTCCTTTATGTTTGCAATTTTGCATTATAATTAGGTAATTATGTATGGCAAGGATGAAGACCAGAAATAAACAGGTCAAAACTTGTGAATTGGCAAGTTATTTCGAAATTTTACTGAAAACTACCAGATTTGAAGCAAGAGGCGATTAAAAATGGCCTGTGAATTAGGCTTTGACACATAATACAAGATGTAAGACAAGCTTAATCATTAAAATTTAATTTAGCACCTAAAACTCATTTTTGAACGATGAAAATAACCATTTTAACGAGTGTTTTTGTAGTATATACAGATGTTTTCCGACGAACTCCGTGACAGTTATCACAAGAACTCCTGAACAAGTTATCATAAGAACTCCATCCTTCGTGTAACACTTCCTCCCCCGTGATGATCATATAAAAATCGAAAATGAAGGAAGTCATATTCCATAGTGGGAATTCTTTTGTCACAACACAATTTATTGGGCTATTTATCTGTATGATTTGAAAATGTATTTTAATATTCTCTCGTTTCCTGCTAACAGCAAACCAGTGAATTTTATTGTTTAGAAAAAAAATTAATAATTAGTTCAAATCAATTTCAAATCACCTGTCTTTAGCTGCTCATATGGCAAAGATGTATGACGAAGTCGGACATTTCTTCTTGCATTTAAACAATATTGACTTCATTTAGTTCAAATTACATGACTGTCTTGTTATTGAAACAAGCTAAATCAGAGAGTATTCTAGGAACGTCTGTTAGAATTTTTATAATTCATGATATTTCCAATGTCAGGAAAGCAAAAGCATTTAATCATATCGAACGCAAATTTAATGTATCACTGAAAACAGGAGTGATTCAGAATATGATATTTTATGTGCCAGTAAAACGTTAACATTGCATGCTTCTAACTTATATACATTGTATCAATTTTGATTTCTCAGTGTAGTAGTGTTGTGTGTTGTCTTAATATGTGTAGGATATATAATATGACATTTTATTATACCGCACGTGCACACAACTACAATTGCAACAGCCTCCTATAGTCTCTGCTTTTAAGACGCTTTCTGAATGCCAGTTATAAAGACATTATTTTTTGTACTTAACATAGCAAGCATCGTAAATATTGTCTAAAGCATGTGGCATCAGGTGCAGTGAATTGTTAGAAAAGATTAAATGTATCGTCTTTAATATATATAATTACAACATAGTTTTTACTAATAATAATAATTATAAATTAATTGAATGTTGTTTTATTTGCAACAGGCGGAATACGCAAATATATCGTTAATTGTCTTGAAAATAATGTCGACTGTGCCGTTTAGCGATGAAATTAAAAACTTCGGATGCGCAGGCTGGTCTGGATCCATGCTGGTCGCAAAAGCATTACGTTGGTTTTGTCGTGACGCGGCTCATATCATCTTCCAAGGCCAAGTGTCTTATAAAGAAAACAAAAAAAAGAACAAAAGAAATATAATATACTTCTGTTGCATATGTATTTGCTGTAAGATAAATATACACATTTGTAACAACATGACTAAATAAATTAAAGCACTTTCTAGCTTTATACAGTTTATATATGAATAGAACAAGCTTCTGATCTATGTGCGTCAGTTTGAACTTTCTCCTGATATCATTTTTTTATTATGTCATTGCATAATATGTCAGTTTTATGTCCTTGTGTCATACAAGTACTAAATTGAATTTAATTAATTATATACTAAGAACCCTACTTTTAATAAAAGCGTTTAAGAAATGTAAATACAGTAAAATATCTATATTAAAGTTGCAGACGGTATTGAATCAAAGTGGTTTTAAAAGTAATTTGGTCTTAGTAGTGAATAGGTTGCCTTTGCGCATTAAATTTTTGAATGCCTGGTGATAGGATACTAACTGTATATGAGATATTCTAAAACCCCAGCGTTCTACAAATCGTCGTGTTTTTTGTGTCATACCAGTACAAAAATTAATTGAGCCGCGTCATGACAAAACAAACGTAATGGGTTTGCGACCAGCACGGATCCAGACCAGCCTGCGCATCCGCGCAGTCTGATCAGGATCCATGCTGTTCGCTATTAGTTTCGCTACTTTGAGGGTCTGTAAGCGAACAGCATGGATCCTGATCAGACTGCGCGGATGCGCAGGCTGGTCTGAATCCATGCTGGTCGCAAACCCATTATGTTGGTTTTGTCGTGACACGGCTCAATTTAAGTAGACCCTAATTTGATATAAGAAGTATGTTCATACTGATAGTACCTTAAACGGCACAAGTCTTTTATAAACAATTAACAGAATAATAAGCGTGATAAAGATATTTGCTGTCATGGCTGTGAATGCTACTCTTGGTCCATATGCATCATACACCTGACTCACAAAGACAGGACCGAGGGTTCGAGCAAGACTGCCTGCAGCCGTAAGCCATCCCATCCACAATCCCTGAAACAGGTTCAAACAAACGTGAGACATAAAGGAAAGTAGCAACTGTTGGAGAAAGTAATAGAGAATAACATTTTGTCTCAAATGAGAGCAAAAGAAACAATATATATATATATATAGAGAGAAATGTGTTTTACGTTTGAAGAAATTATAAGAAAATATCCCGCTGAAAATGTTTCCTAATGTAACCATTACTGCGTAGCGATTACAAGATAAATGTTCTCGCTTCTAAATTAAATAAAATTTCATATTCATTAAAACAAAAAAGTGATCTTTTAACTTACACATGTATATCAATGTATTCAAACAAATAAATGTAAGGTAATTCTTTTCCCCTTTCACTTTCGAGAAAAGTATATACCTTACACATCGTATTGTATTATCAATTACCTGAGGCTTTGGTCCCAAAACCTTTGAAAAGATTGTATAAGATATCACACTGCATGCAGGGTAGCCGATAGAAATAAAAAAGGTTCCAAGAAGATACTGCCACAAGGTGGTCGCCGGTGTGTACGTACACCAGGAAAAATAATACGGGCATCCGACATCTTCATTCTCCAAATCACTTGAATTTCCCCAATAAGCCTGTTTCTTTATTTCCTTCATAATATAACTTTTGTTCCACATCACGTCAATTGGAGATTTTTCAGTGTTTGCATTTAGCTGCGTTAATTTTTGATAAAAATCATTCCTTACATAATCACTATTTTCTTTTATATTTATTGGTAAATTCAAACTAGTGTTTTCTTTTTCATTTAGAATATCGTTGATTTTGTTCAGATCTTTAGTGAAAGAGTCGGTGGTTGATAATGGTAGAGTTTCTTCCCCCGCCAACATCATATGCTGGATAAGTTCTGTTAGATTTCTTTGGTTGTTCGTCACCTTATCTGAAGACAGAGAAACACCTATGACAGAACCATCTTACTTCTCTGATAAAGTTACACTACTTAAAAAATCTCGTTATCATTTAATACCATTTACCCCGATCACGTTAAATGGACTACTCCATCTTCCAATGTGGACAAAACCATTCATCATTTGTTGAAATTTTGAAGATATAAACTTCCTGAATTATTATAGCAAAATTGCAGATCTTGTAAAGACGGCACGCGGATGTTCCGGCATGATTTTAGTATACTCTGGTCACTTGACTAGAATCTGTTACCGCCAGCTGGCTAAGGTTTAAGGAATTTTCTAATCAAATCTATTAATAAATAGAGGATATTTGTTTGTTTGTGTGTAAGATGATATTTTATTTCATCGAGTGGGCTTCAAAAACAGTATTCTCACGAGTGGCGTAGCCACGAGTGAGAATACTGTTTTTAAATTTCACGAGATGAAATAAAATTACATCTTACACAACACACAAACAAATTTTCTTTTTATTTTATGCTAAAAAACAAGTTAAAACGAACTTTTCAATAATATTAAAATATGAATTCCCTATTGAGAGCCCCATTTAGTCGGAATTTCTCATTAAAAACAAGAAGTCTTGAGCTGAAAAATAAGTCCGACAATCAACATTAAATGACAGTGATATTATTTATTTTGTTAAAAAAATATGAATGATCTTTTGTTTTAATAATAAAAACAAACAATTCATGTAGGAGAAAAATTCCAACCATCCGTCCATATTTCTGTTACTTAATTCGAATTTATATTAGACCTGGCTTTGTTAAATGTAAGCGGCAGCCATTTTTTAAAGTTGTGTATTTCACGGGAGGAAAATAATTGTGTTTGATTCAGAGGGATATCATTTGGATTTGCTAGTCATACACCTTTTTAAAAGAAAGAAAACATATTTGTGGATTGAAACAGACAAAAAATAAGTGTTGACATATGTGAAAACAAGAAAAAAGCAGCTATGAAAATGGAAAACTTGGAACTTGCTCGGAACCGCTGGGTATTTAACTTGTTCTACGAGCTGATTAGCTTTTCATTGCTTTTCAATTTTTTCATAAAGCATACGGCAGTTATTGCTTGTAGGATACTTTAATATGCCCAAATGTCATCAAGAGCAGTTTGCATGAGGAAGGAATGTATTTTTCAGACTGTAAAAATGAAACAAACAATTTAGAAATGAAACTTGGTGATTGGAATTTGAATGAATAGAAGTAAGTTTTCTTCTTTTTATTACTTTTGACATTTAAGTTACTTATCAATTTCAGCTTTGCGTTTTCTTTAAACAGCCTGACATTGTCAGAATTGTTAGCAAAAATAAAATTGAGGTACCCCATGGGAAAAATCTTAAAAAAGTAGTTTCGGCATTGAAAAGTGTGAAATTATATTTTGATAATTTTCACTGTGAAATTATTATTCATTTGAAACGGGAAATAAACGTTTTAACTACAGTTTGCTGCTGAAATAACATGTCCTCAACTATAACTAAAAGTTTTCGCATGCTTATATATATAGTTTTATATTTTATATTTATAGTCGGGCTTGCGAGAGGGATTTCGGAGTTGAACAAAACACAAAATAATATAAATAAAGACAGACCTGCGTGTTTGATTTCAGCATATTGTATTGCCGGATAGTTTGATCCCCATGGTAGATAAGAAACGTATCCGAATATACAAATTATAAAACCAACAAAAAGTAAATTCCGTTCATTAAACCTGAAAAAGATAAAAATAAAAGAAATTAAGAAGTGTCTGTACATGCCAAGGCAGAAGTATAGTGGGAATAGCCGTAGAAAGGATTTTATGATCAATCCAAACGAAAGGAACATGCGCCGTCCGGAAATCGAACCCGGGTTGCCCGATTCACTGTCTAAGGTTATACCAAATGAGTTAACCAGAACGTGCAGCTTAGGAATGCTGTATATTTGTATAATAGCGATATGTGCATATCTTGTAGAATATGTCCTCAATCAAACCCTTGCCATACATGTACATGCTATTTTATATGAAACAATAACTTATATGAAGAATATAAAGCTAAATTTCTTTTTCGTTATAATGTCTTATCTTGTAAGAGTATTTGTAAGCAAATTTCTTATAACTACAAACCCATATTACCCGATATACACGCCCTCTAACGCCTTTTCATCCCCTATTTGTTGTCTCATATGGCGGAAAATGCCTTATTTAGGCCCCCAACACTTGTATTTGTTTGCGAAATGTTGATTAAAAAGTGACCACTTTTTCGGCGCCGCCCCTATCAGGTACATCAGGGGGTTGCCAGAAGGGGGATATGCCAGCTTCTGTTGGTGGGGGTGGGGGCTGAATGGGAGTGGCAGTCCCCATCAGCATTTTAAAATCAACTTTGATTGAAAATATCAACGCAAAATAGTGATAGATGTCCCCTTGTTGCCATGGTAACAGGAAATTTAAGACAGAGCATGTCATTACAATGGCAATGTTCCAGTCAACATTTGTGCCAATTTTGTTTAGTATTGAAGCAGATGCTAAAGTTTTATAGCAATTTGATCTTGAAACGGGAGACTTTTCAATGAAAACAGCCATTTTTCACAAAGTGCTTATCAAGTAATGGGTTAATAAAGTTTATGATTGGTAAATAAAAACATGACTAAGTGATGTAAATGTTTTATACCGTATTGTCAGAAGTTTTATAACGATAAAAACGACAATGGCTACTAGTCCAGCACAGCCCAACATAATTCCAACATACAAAGTTGCTTTAGTCTTCTCCCAGGCAAACATATCCATTCCGAATGGGGTAATGATTCTAAAATACAATGATAAAATTGTATATCTGATATAAAGATATCATGAATATAGTATGTCTGATATACAAATGTCTCAAACTAGTATATCAAATATATAGATATCATATGAATCCAAAAAGAACAACCACACGCGTACATTCAGTTATTTTTTATTCAAATCGATTTCGAACAAGTATGTTCTTCATCAGTGAATAAACACATATACAAATGTCTTAAACTAGTATATCATATATATAGATATCATCAAATAGTATATCTGATATATAGATATCTTAAAGTAGTATATCTGATAGATAAATATCATAAATATAGTATGTCTAATATATAGATAAAATAAAATGGTTTAAATTTTTTTTAGTTTTATTGAGTTTAATTAGACATGCGGATATAAAAGAACTTACGTTTCAAAGACAGCAAAAATGAAAAGTACGGAGAAGAACAGGAAAATGGTCGCCAGTACAGCTACATAATCGGGAGAATACTTTGACAAAATAACGTTTGTGGACGTTTCTGACTCAGTCTGAATCTTTTGTTTTGTAGTAGACTGTTTACCTTAAAACAAAAATGACATGTATGATTATGTGAACTGTAATAAGTATATGCTTTTCAGAGGAAATTGAAATTATATCTTATATTTTACGGTGAATATTTAACCTATTATTTCCATAGTAGCCGGACTGGATCTTTATCTGAATGAGGATGAAAAGAATATAATTACAACTTAAATGAGTGAAAATTTTTGTAAGAAACACACGCTGTCTTGAGGAAAAATGTGCTCGCTATTGTATTCTTGTAGAACTTGAATCAAATACCATAAAAACTAATAACACAATCTGTTAACTTTTCAACTTATTTACCTTCATCTGAAGAAATAAATTCCTCGTCGATGACAATGTTATGTTCTTTAAAGACCAGGACGAGGAGAAGTATATTTATGATGCCTACAAGTGCGCTGAATAGACCTGTAGCTGAGTACATGTCGAAATGAAGCTCTAGTGTATGAACTGGTCCGGGGTAGCCTAGTGGCACCATTGCTGTCTGAAATACTGGAATAAATAAAGGCACCATCAATCATATGGCGTTTGACCAATGGATTCTTCAAGTATATATTAAGTTTAAGGGAAGCCAAGATGAAAAATTAAAGTTAGTTAAATAACCAACAGTATAGAGCCTGATCACATTGCACAGACGGTCAGGCCAGCCTAGCTCTTTACTGGAGGAAAAGGCTATGCACTTTCCGTTTTCCGTTCAAGCGGCTTCAGTAAAAGAGTCCAGTAGGTGTTAAAGATTAATGTTAAAATTGATTATGAATATAATCGCAAAGGAAATGAATAAAATAATTTGTAAAACACCTTTTCGTCAAATATTGATATCTTATGAATAAGTTACGTTTAGTGATAACTGACTTCATAAGAACCATAACTTTTAACTAACGCTAGAAATGTTGGATATCACTATCTATAGTTATAAAGTATTATAATGAAGATTTTATTTAATGAGAGGACGCGTTTGAACAATACATTAATCTTCCATGAGGACCTCAACAAAGGATAATATAGATTAAACATATTCAAACAATCAAAATACGAGGATTAGACAGGACTGAATTTAAGAAAATATGAATGCTAGAGGCATTTTATTGTACAAGTAATAGCTTGAGTGTTTTAACCTTATATGGGTATGCTGAACACGATGAGGGTTGATACCAAGAAAAAAAATGACCATGACCTTCAAAAGGTCAATTCAAAATGGCCGTTTAAAAATACTTAAATTAGTCATTAAAACTGATACAATACGATGCAATTAATCATTCTTGTCAAAAACAAATGATCATTCAATATGTTCTGATTTTAATGAGATTGGCCACCAAATATTACGATTATAAGCCTTATGGCTCAATTAACAGTAATTTACAGTACTGTTTTACTTGCGCGTTAAGGTATGATACTAAGATTGAAAAAAAAATACTTACAAAATGTACTTGACTTATTATAACAATAAACTGAGTTTCAAATCCTTCTTTACAAATATTTTTATCGTGGGAATTTCGGAATTTAAAGCCGCCTTGATGAAATAAAATTTCATCTGACACACACAAAAAAAACAAACAAATATCCTCAATATACTCCATATTAATTATCGTTACAAACTTTACTAACGAAATCGAAGTGGAATCTAATATTTCAATGAGTGCTGTAATGTATTCATAATTGACAGGCCAATAGAATAAAACTATACAAAATAAGCAATTAGGCTGTGTATACAAACAATTAAAATATTGTCGTTCCAACATGCAAAAGCGGGATTAAGTAAGCGCAAAATCACCACAAAATCTTTTTAAGGCGACATGTGACACGTTCTAAAATTTATCTATAGAATAAAAGATACCACCTCAAAACTAACTAAAGTCATAATAATTACATAACTGCACGTATTTTAAAAAAATGAATTAAGGCAGTACACAATATTAAGAATGTAAGCTTGTAATATGTTTATCCTACTTAAAACATTTTCAGGATCAAAAACTTCTATTGTAACCTAAATATCTACGACATTATGGCTCTATCTCAATCTATGAAAGTTGTTTTCTGTTTATTTTTTGTACCTCAGGTTTATATATAAAAATGTGTTAACTGAGTGTTGAGCAAACTAGGTAAAAAATATCCAACTTACAAATTTACCAATTGTCATGTGGTCGATATTCGTGTTTTTGAATATCGTTTTCATGTATCATTTTGTCCTTGTATTTGTATATATATCTCTTGTATTTGTCTGTTTACAGTCCGATATACACTCCATCATCCCATATCATTCCTATATCATTCCATTTCATCATCTCATTATAACAACTAATTTCTCATATTTCATTTGACATAATTTGCAAGCCGGGCCTCAGTTTTTACAAACTTCCCGGAAAATCCACCTCACGCATGCGCACTTTGGTATAAATATTTCTCTTGGTTTGCGCCAGAAATTGTTTATCTTGTTTATTTATTTATCAAGGCGTATGCTTATGTCCTTACAGGCATAAACAGACCATTCCTACATTTGAAAAAGGACCATACGACATTGGTGGCCAGTGTGGGGGGTGTGTCACGGTTCAGAACTGTTCACTATTTAGGGTAGAAGATGTGTAAGCGGCCGGATAGCTCAGTCGGTAGAGCCACGGTACGGTATTCCGTTGGTCCCGGGTTCGAGTCCCGGTCAGGCTGCACATTTTTCTCACCCTGTGACATTTGGCGCCCAACGTGGGGCCGTGACTGATATAGCTCAGAGTTTAATTTACATTGCTCTGTAACTCTGTGAAATTCGAGGACGAATTTCAATATAGCAGGGGAGTATGTCACGGTTCAGAACTGTTCACTATTTAGGGTAGAAGATGTGTAAGCGGCCGGATAGCTCAGTCGGTAGAGCCACGGTACGGTATTCCGAGGGTCCCGGGTTCGAGTCCCGGTCAGGCTGCACATTTTTCTCACCCTGTGACACAATCCTATTTTTTAAATGGTTACAACAACAGTTCTATCCCATTCTTTTATAAAATGTGTCACTTGCTTTAAAAAAGAGCCGTTTTTCAGCACATTGTGAACATTAAACAGGTATGCTGCATGTAAGTTTTTTTGTGTGTTGTTTGTATCTGTTCTTTTCTGTCGAAAATAATATCTGCATAATTCATTTTTAGATTCAATTATAACTGCATTAAGGTATACGATGAATAATCGATAATATTAAAAAGTATTCATAAACTTATGAAGTGTATACTTTATCACATTCTTAACAAAAATACAGATACAACAAAGAAGATTATCACATCATTTGATATGCATTAGAATTCCCGGTACCTTCCAATAAGATTCCAGGATATTTTAAAGTAACAACAAAGTTATCTATGAAACTATTACTTGTAATATATCGAGTTATATTTCCTTTGACCATTTTTAAAAGTCACGTGGGTTCGCTACATAGTAGAGGTGTTAAAATATAATTGTTATACACCCTTTGTTAGACATTGAGATAGTATTTAATGTATAAAGGACTTTCAAAAGTTGTTATTATTCAGAGCGGGCGCTATGGTGCAGTGGTAACACTGTCTGCCTACAAATCAAGGGGTCGTGAGTTCGATCCCCCGCTACTCCACTGAACGAATAAAAGTCTACAAGACTGACAAAACCAGTACATGGACACAGAATAATGGCAACGATAGATACAAGAGAAGACCTTAACGGAACAGGAAACAAGTACCGAAATTGCAAGACCGAAGACGACGACCGATAACAGAAGGGAGAACGGAGGCAAGAACTGACAAGAAACGAACAGATACAAGAACTTACAACAAGCGAACAGTAACGAGCACCGATAACAGGATCGAGAACAGAGACAGGGACCGATAACAGACGAACTGATAAGTAGCAAACAGAGACGAGGATCGATAACAGAAGAACAGGACAGAAACCGATAAAAGAAGTACTGACAACAGATAACAGAAGGGAGAACGGAGACAAGAACTGACAAGAAGCTAGCAGAGACGTCGACCAAGAACAGACGGGAGAACAGAGACAAGAACTGACGAGAAGCGAACATAGACGAGGATCAAGAACAGGAGGACAGAGACAGGTACCGATAACAGAAACGGGGACCAATAGCAGAAGTATTGACAACAAGACAACAGAGACGAGGATTGATAACACAAATACAGAGACGAGGACCGTTGACAGAAGAATTGACGATAAGACTTATTACAGAAGAAAAGTGACGAGAACCGATGATATGAGAACAGAGAATAACGAAGACGCCAACCGATGACAGAATAATTCACAACAAGAAAACGGACACCAGAATTTATTACGAGAACCGATAACAGAAAAACAGAGACGAGGACCGATAACAAAACATCAAACAACAAAAGGACTGAGACCAGGACCGATTACAAAAGAACGAAGATCACGACCTATAACGAAAGAACTGACAGCAGAGAAATGCGACGAATACCGATAACAGAAGAACGAAGACAATGACCAATAACAAAAAAACGAACACCAAAACCAAAGAATACCCAGAGAAAGGTGCCTTTAATTAATGTATATTGTGCATGCACACGTTTTAACCCACTCACTCATACGCACGCTGTGCCATTTGAGTAGCCACTCTATATGAGGGCAGGATTAATATACATGAAAGCTCTATATCTAGCAGATAGCGCAGGAAAAAGTGTAGTGTTCGCTGCGTAAACCCTAAATATGTTTTAATGCATTAAAATTATCAGTACTATCTTTAATACTTCTATATTACTATTATATTGGCCTATAGAAAAATGTCCGCCATCTTGGAGTTTTCGGCCAAATGGGATTGTTTTGTTTTTTTACCTCTGTTTTGGTGTCTAATTTGTTATTACCTGAACATGCTTTGTGACAAATTTCAGGTTTTTCCTTTCCTTAACAGTTTTATTTGATATGTCATCCAATTATAATAAAGAAGTTTGGCGGCCATTTTATTGGTCATTTTAAATGGCAATTTCAATGGTCAAGATCAAGGTTTTCAGTTTGGTATCCACCTTTATCGGATTCAGCATACCTTAAATAGGTACAAGGTTAGCTTTTAAAAAAGCTAGTAGCGACTCGCTTCGTTTTTTTTCCAGGGGTGCGTTTAATGTAAAAATGATAGTTCTGTTAGCTGAAGAGACTTCAGCGAACATCAAAATAAAAGTGAAATAAAGTTATGGAAGCCAGTTCTCTAAGTTTAACAAAGAGGCATATGAGTATATATGAAGATGCGTGTAAACAGATAGAATGAAGTCCCTATGTCTATGCACATTTACTGTATGGCCTGTTGACCTTGACCAAATAAATCTTAGATAGGTAGAATTCATAAAGATGTCTCTTTATACGAAGTTAAGTTGTAATATGTTATTTAGTATTGGAATGAGTGACGGACACAAGTCCTAAAGTAAACACAAGTTGTCAGAAAAGCCGGGATCCTATTAAAAATATAGGGATCCCGGATTTTGACCAGTCTAAGATGTTTTTCAGATAAGCCGGGATCCTATTAAAACATATAAGGATTATGGGAATTGACCAGTTCAAGAATATAGTTTTCAGAAAAGCCGGGATCGTATTAAAATATAAAGAGATCCCAGGAATTTGCCAGTTCAAGAATATAGTTTTCAGAAAAGCTTGGGATCGCATTAAAACATAAAGGGATCCCGGGATTTGACCAATTCAAGAATGTAGTCTTTGATTTTTCCAATTAATTAGGCATATAATTATAATTATATTATATTTGGATTTCCGCATTTTAAGTTTGTTAATAAATACCTCTAAATATACTTATATCCTAAGTTTGATTAATTTAACGTTCATTACATACAATAAAAAAACTTAACGTTTAATATCCTTTCATTACGACAATAATCAACACAAATATAGTTTATTAGTTTTTCCTCTATATCTTATACGATCCCGGATCCCGGCCAGTCCGGGCCTCCCGGACCCCGGCCAGTAAATATATACACTAAATACCGATAAAGGATAAAATGACCGGAAAAAAGGAAAAAGAAACAAATGCACAGAACCAGATGTACACTTATGTTAATTAACCAAACGAAAACTTACTACAGAGGAACAGGTGAGATCGCTAAAACAAAAGTCAGTGTAAATATGATTTTTTGAAAAGAATTCATGAAAACAAACATTTTAATCATCATTATATCTTTGCGCTCAAAATAAAACTTGCTGCTTTTTAAAAATGGCGTGAAAATTGAAGGTTTTTTGACGCTATGTAAGATTAAATTTGATTGGCTAAATAAATTTGGATCCTAGCCCTGATAGATAAATTTTGTGGAAAGCTGGAAGCCAAGCTTCGATTAAATTTTTGGATGGATTCGGAGTTTTAGGTTGTTTTTCAGTAAAATCCTATCGTAATACCGGCTCGCCGTGGCGAGCCGGCAAAATACACCAAGATACCACTTGTACTTCAAAATGCCTCTAGCATTTTAGAGAGAGTCAAAAACTCAAAATCAGTCCTGTCTAGATGTAACATTAAGATATTTTTTTAAAAAACTATCAATTTATAGAATGAAATTGGCATTAATTGAGCTTACATCGGTGTGTAATGAATTTCTAGTATAAGGTTATAAAATTGTTTTAAATGAAGACTAGATGTAATGAGGGACCCCATTTTTAAAATAAGATTCTGAACAAACAAATGATAAAGGATTTGCAAAATGAACGTCTAACAAAATTATTCAATAAATTGGAAGGCGCAAGATTATCTATTAACCAAATACTGATAATATGTCAAACCTATTAGATTGAATACATATTATGACAAAATATATAAGAGAAAGACATTTCTTTCAAGTAATAAAACAATATGCAAAAGAAAAATGCACGCGTGTGTTTAAAAAAATGAGAAAAAAAAATGTAATAATAATTATTGACCGATATTTTAACATGTTTAATGCAAAATTGAAACTACGATCAAACTAAATTCTATATGAAATTGTATAAACATCAAACTAATGTAAGACATTTTTGTATTTATTTATACAATCTGCTTATATTGCGTAAAAGATGCTTTAAAATTAAGTCTTTCGAGATGCCCCGCATTTATGAGATGTACATTCCTGATTCACTGTTTTACGGGCATGCTTTTATGATAAATGAGCCGCGTCACGACAAAACCAAAAAGTGCGTTTGCGACCAGCTTTGATCCAGACAAGCCTGCGCCTCCGCGCAGTCTGATCAGGATCCATGCTGTTCGCTTACCAACCTTATTACAAGTAGAGAAACTGATTGCGAACAGCATGGATCTTGATCAGACTGCGCGGATGCGCAGGCTGGCCTGGTCCATGCTGATCGCAAACGCACTATGTTGGTTTTTTCGTGACGCGGCTCAAATGTTTTATGCTTAAAACGTTCCTAGAAAACATAAAAAATGAACCTTGATTATTAACTATTAATTAATTAACTATTAACCTTGATTTTTAATAATTGTCTAACCTTTTCAATTGGTTCAAATGAATTGCGAGAAAAGGCTACTGTATGTACATAAAAAAACCTTCCCAATCGTGCGGATAGTATGACAAAAAAACCACCGTTGCCTCTCCTTTATAAGAAATGTCATGTTTAACTAATCGCCTGTCAGAAATGTTATGAAATTGAAATGAAAGGTCACATCCTTTTTTTAAAAAGAGGGAAAAAAAGAATCTTTAAAGAACGCACAAAACCACAAAATTGAAAATGTTGCAGGCTTTGTTTTCAATTATGACACAGTTGTTGTTTTAAAAGACTAAACGTATCTAATTAAGGACATTTAAATGTAAACTTACTTACGGTTACCAAATATAAAACCAGCCGACTGAAATGCGGATAAGTTTGCCATAACCGAGATTCTTTCATATACATGTGTCGCTCCCGCAACATAAGACCTCACGACTGCAACATTTCCTGTGAAAAAACACCGTCATTTTCCACAAATGTTTATATATTTATATATTTGTTTTCAAATATATTTTAGTTAAATGAACGAATAAATAAATGTAGTAAGTCTGTTTAAAAGTTATTTACTTGCCATTTAACTATTGACGTGAAAACTTCTCATTAACCAAGTTATCTTATTATAATGAAAACTTACTTGTTACTCAAATAAATAATGTGACCATTTTTGACACCAAGATAAAAAAGAAGTTTACTGTTGGAAGGTTCAAGACGAGTTCTGTGAAGGTTGAATCTCGACAAATATAATCTAGTAAATTCTGCACTTTGTATGCACTTGCGTTTATTTCAGTATTTGAATTTATCTGGTCAAAACTAACCAATCAAAATACATGTTTTGATAACTTCATCAATATAGTTCAGTGTAAGCTCGTGTCATATATACTCACCTGCACCGAATTCCACCAACGCTCTAGCAAGCAATAAATAAACTTGAGGGGATGTTTGTATACTTTCCAAATACATATATAAAACGTTGGCTAGTACATTGATTACTATGGAAACAACCAGAGGCTCACGTGTTCTACATCGAATATTTGACCACGCCCCAAAAAATGGAGAGGCTACTAGTTGTCCAACACTGTATGCTGCCACTACCCAACCTAGGAAGTCTGTATCTGCACTAGGGTCAAGCTAAAATTAAAAAGTAACATCAAATATGTATATTATTACTTTCAAACTGGACAGAATATGAGTGAGATGTTTTCCGTTTGAGTGAAATATGGAATATATTTAAATATGATAAAATTTTATGTAAGTTTTCTCCAGCTGGAACGGACCGGTGAAAAATATAGAATTTTATAATGTAAAATGAAAGTATATTCCATATTTCACACAACGGAAAAATATCACCTTATTCTTCATTATTTCATATCTATTTTTCATATTTGTTTCCCCCTCCTCCCCCCACAAATATGATATAGACTTGGCTGATAAAGCACCATATGTCTTTCATGGGAAAAACTAAATACAACTAGTTTTAAGTCTAATCACATTATGTTCAATTTGCAATATTTGAGTAATTATTTGACTGTAAAGTTTTATTGACAATGAAAATAATTTTCATCTACAGGTAGTTATAACAATGAAACGTTCAATCAGATAAAATACTGAGAACTGGCAAGTAATTTTCGTATTTAAAAAAAATAAAATAAAAAAATAGCCTATGTCTAGTATATGACCGGAAGTTTGACGTTCAGCTGGTTTAAACTTACAACTCTGAGATATGGATACAACGACGACATGCAGATAGAAAATGACACGCTGCTCAGAAACATCGTTAAATACATAACTCTGATGGACCGGCATCTTGATTTGTATGTCCCACTAGATTCCGTTGCGTGTCTATTCGTACTGAAAATAAATAATTATTGTTTATTATACTCTGGAGTAAAGAGATGAAATAATCAAAGGTGGCTATCCGTTAATTTGTGTTTCATACACACCGCGAACCTTTTTGGTAAAAAAGGAAAATTTTGAAATTTTAAATCAAAAGAAGTGGATTGATTTGCCACTACAACATGTTCTAACACATAATATTATTTAGATAGAAAAAATTTAAGAAAGAGTGCCTGTCTGGTGTTATTATGAGTTCAATTTTGGATAAATCATATAATTAATTAAACTAATTTTGTCTGCTTAAATTTTTAACAGTTGGATTTTGGCATGCATCTTTTGAACTGCCTCTGAACCTTATTTTTCAATTCAATATAGTATAATCACGTGGTTGTATTTAAATTGTATCATGAACTGTGATCATTGCAGTTAGATAAGTCATCCAGCTAAAATTTCATAAGGAATTGAAAGATTAAACTGACACAAGCTTAAATTGTATAAGGTGTCCTTGATGGGTAATTTAAAAACTTATTTTTTCTAACTTTCTTTAAAAAAAAAACAACGTTGACGTTTTATTACATGAATTATTGTGCTATAATTTCTTTCAGATCATTCGCGCACTTCGATTTTCAAGAATAGCTATTCAAATTGTAAAAAATGACCCAAAATGAAAAGCGTATATTGACGTTTCACTCAAACTGGGCAAAGAAATTTATTGTATTTTTCTTAACTATCTTTGCATATATTTCTGTTTAAAGTGTCCCAGCTCATTCATGTAAGAAATTCAAATGTTATTTTTTAGGCTTTTAAACCCCAGTAGAGTCCCTTTAAGGTAAAGAAATTAAAATATGATGGAATATGGCTGAAAATGCAAAAACAAATATCTTGCCTATGTTTGTGGTTCGGGATGGAAAATCCGTCCCTATGCATGCATCGGGTGGGTCCCATCGGGACGGATACTCGGATCTGAACCGCAACATATGATATATATTATAAACGTCAGATAACAGTGCAGCCGACTATTCTTATCCCCCATCCCCAGCCCAATAGAAACTGAGTAAAGAGTCATACAAGACACTAATTTCTATCTAACCCAGAGTATATTTTTGCAGCTATTTTTGAGATTCTATTCTAAGTTCATCAATCGATTTATGTAATAATTTTAAGTAATATGTTTTTGTCCGGCTTTTTGACATCAGTGGAACCAACACAAAAACACAATCTAATAAAGTTCTAATGTTTCGTCGTAGTCTTCTATTGTTAGAGGGAGGGTTTGCTAACCAAGATAGTTACATACGTTTATGTTACGGTATGAAATGAAATGAAATAAAGTATTGACAAGACGTTATAAAGAGAATCCATGCCGCCCCCTGTACTGTACAAAATTGTTAGCTGCTGTCCAATTCTAGCATTATTATATTATCATCGGTGTACGTTGTCCATGGTCTACATTTTTTTCCGGGAAAGTGAAAAAAATAAATAATCAGTTACTTTCTTTCCTTTTTGAACTAGCTTTAATTATTAGTTTTGAATATAAACCAAAACGCACCAAGAATCGTTTCCGGAAGGTTATCACCCTAGCGTCATAGTGTACTCCTATCTCAAACCTCACCCTGATTATTGTTATAGGGACATTATGCCCATCCAGGGGTATATAGTGAGTGAACAGGTGAAGATCAAAATATGTTTTAATTTGGCCATAATCCCTTTTAATTTAATAATTAAGTCCACATAAACAATAGATAACACACAAATCCAAATGAAATTTCAGTAATTATCCGTTAGAATTTACGTATTACGCTAAGTCTTTTTAGATTTTTGACAGATTTTTAAGTTTATCCTTAACATTTTCCAACATCAACTGTTGGTCAAACGCCATTTTGACAGTCAATCTTTAGAAATATCAAAGTATAAAAGTCAATTCAGCTCATTTTGACTATGAAAATATAAGCATAATGTCAAGGAATTTTTAACAATTGCCTTATCTATGAAAGTTAAATAAATTCAATCAACTCTCTTTGATGATGTATTCAAGTATAACAACCAGTCATAATTAAAGTACACTTAGTTTAGTGTGGTAGACCTATATATTACCTTTCTAATGAACGTGTTGATCTGCCAATAAGTAAAGTCCTCTCGCTTAGTCCATCGTTTATATATCGAACCGACGATTCCATATTCCCCCATAGTGCTACTTAACCATTACTGAAAATATATAAATGATAGCAATTTTAAATTTGCATAATCATGTTTTTTTATATAAATCAACATATAAACGAACCCGCCTCACACGGTTACATTCACCAAAATGATAAATCGATGTTAACCAATAGATGATGATACAATGTATAGTGAATTCATAACGCCACGCTGTACATCATGTGAGTTTACATACATGTAAAGATATACAAACTACATGTATGTGTTTACATAAGAGTATTCTGACAAACTGTAAAGTGATTTAAACCTAAACTGTTAGGATTTGTCATGTGATCATCATCACTATTAAAGTTATAATCCCTAATGCTTGTCAGAAATCTATATTAAATTTTACGAATTAATCTCGATAAACTGTGTTTAAAGGCACATTATGTCTCAGCTACCTGTATCATTTAATTCTTTAGAAATGTTAAACATGTCTTTATTAATGTTTAAATAATGGATAAAGTGCATGTTAGGTGTTTAACAAATGCAAAAGGCTGCGCTGAACATGCAGTTATGCGTCGTAAAGGTAGCAAAATGTAAACAAAGTAGTATTTTGACTTAATACAAAATTATAATTCACTGTTATTATACCAATTGTCAACGTAATATGAAAAAAGATAATTATTCTTATAGCTTATGAGTATATTTTAGGGAATTGTAGCAAGATACAAAAAAAAGGTTTTTGAGAAATAAAAATGATAGCATTTTTGAGGCAAAATGGGCATTTAAAATATTCCTTTCCTTCAACATGTTAGTAAGATGTAAGTAAGGTCGTGACGTTGTTAGATTAACATAAAACTAGAAAAGAACTGTCATTGAAATTGTTTTGAGTATGCACTGTTCGAACGCTTTGAAAGGTCATGTTTCTATAATTTTACAACATGTATGCATACAATAGAAAATGTATTGATTTTATGCTTTTTAGTGGATTACTGATTTACATGTGATAATTTCACAGTTAAATTAACGAACTATAATTTCATACTTTCAATGAAGAGTCTTATTTTTCCCCATGTGGTGGTACCTCTATTTTTTTTGGCTTACAATTCCGACATTGCCAGGACTATTAGAGCAAACCAAAGCTAAAATTGATACATAACTTAAATTTCGAACGTATAACTTACTCCAATTCATTTTTACCAACCACCAAACAACGTCTCTAATTTTGTATTTCATTTTAACAGGCGAAAAACTACACTTCAACAGTCGTGCGGGCAAGACATTCGCGTTTTTTTCTTTCTACCTTGTTTCTTAGGCCCCATGTACTTAATATTTCCATAAACGGTAGCTAGCCTAAAAACAATTGTAAACAATACGCAACGGGCTCTGAAAAATAACACATTTTTCACTCTTTAGAGCTTAATGTATCAGATATGCTCCATACAATCTAAATCATATATCTGATTCATAAAACATAACAAAATATATTCGTTTTGCGTTTAATGTAATGAAAAATTATTTCGAATACGTTATAAGTATCCTTCATATTAAGTGGTGGACTTACACAGTCACTTACCCTTTGGTAAAACACGCAATTTGTACTAGTGAAAAGTAGTTAAAAAGGTCATTTAATTTTTCATTTGAAACACAGAATTTTAACAGGTCATGTCTTTGTGATGTTTTCATAAAATTTATGAATAGTTATGCATATTTGCTGTCTAATTGTTGATAACTTTTAGTATAGAAATTAGCCATATTGGTGTAATTTGTATCAGAAATGGTCTGTCGCAAAAACGCTCAACCGGGCAGATTTTTAGTGTGTGCCCGAAACTTTACCACATATTTTATTTCAAGTAGTAAACTGAACTATCCTTACATATACTATTACTAAGGACTGATATACTATTTCTGATTAATAATATTTTGTAGTATCTTTTTTCTAATAGTTTTGTAAATAAAATGTCTCGTTAAAACACAAAAATTAATTTTAACACAATAATTTTCAATATCATCAGATGATGGCACACTAACAGAATAAATTTAAAATCGTCTGCTATTGTCCAGCTAGGTATACATTTCACCTACCTCATTCCCTATTTCTAGTTAACCATTCGTGTTTAAGTACATGGTAATACGTTAAAATATCACAAAAAGTTATTTTTATGATTTTGTATGACCCAAAACTTCAGTCGATTGTGTGATGTTAAAATTGCACATATGTAAGACTCTTTTGGTTCCAAAATTAACTTCAAAGTGCATAACGCATTTTGGTTTCGGATCCAAAATTACGTTACGCACTTTGGGGTGTGACCCCAAAGTATGTTAGACCTCAAAGTGCAGTGTAACAATGCTATGTATGTATGTCTTGCCTTAAAATGACCAGCATTTGCCCACTAATGTGAATTCAGCCAAGCTTGTTTATCCGTGCAGCCTAACCAGGCGCTTAGCTGTTGCCTGACTGAAAGACCAATTATGCCTAAGAAATGCTTTCATTTCTATATCTCAAACACTTATTATTTTTGCTGTCTTGTAATATTTCCGAAAAGTTACTTATATACAGTAACATATATATAATTATTTTAATTAAAACAAGTATCTGTTTAATTCAAAGAATAAGTTAATTTTTTAGGTTGTTTGGTAGAATATTTATCCAGAATGTAGTTATTTTATATGACATTATTGTCATTATGTAACCTTCTTCATGTCAGAATAATAGGAAAGAAAATTTCTAAGGCTTTATAATGCTTCATTGTTAGGCTTTGACATTTATGCCAATGAAAATTTTTAACGTTAGTACCAATAACACAGTATAACTTTACATGGTAGCTTATATCATGCATAAGTCTTTAATTGATATAAATTTTTGTATGCTTGACTTTGCACACATACAATTACATTAAAGCAAGAAACATTAGAGGAGGCAAAAATTATTTTAAAACATCGCATGATCATTAAATTACTGGAACTTTGAACTGTGTGTTTTTTGGAAGAAATAAATCAAACAGATTCATTGCTTTTCTCTAATTTGAGTGTGCACTAGCGTTTTCTTTTAAAAAGACAAATACAATGAAAAAACATGATATTTCTTTCTCAGACAAAAATCAAGAAGTATTGAATTAATCTCCAGATTGCATTTATTGATAGGATCTTTCTTGTGACACAAGATTTATCGTTAAAGAAATCTTAAAATAACATGCGACATGATATATCTTACAAAAAAAATGTCCCGTGCTTCATTTAGAATTTTTATATATTAATTTGTTTTTTTGCCTGTGATATCATCGATTAAAAAACGATGATGTACGGAAAGCAAATAAGCTAGGTTCACACCGGCAGATTTTTGTGTAAAGACTGTTGGATGCTATTAATTTATGCGTTTCAACTTTTCGTGTTTTTTGTTGGTTTGATTGCTTAAAATGAGTGAGTGTTGGTCAGTCATAAAATAAGCTAAACAAAGCATAATTATGACATTATTTATTCACGCACTTCAGTTTTTATTAGGAAAATATTAGGTGATTATAAATTAATCATAACTGAACTTTTCGCCACTTCTAAAATTCAATTTGATTTTAATTATTGCAACCTATACACCGTGTTGAAATTTATCTTTTTTATTATAAAAAGTCAACTAATGAAATTCGTTAGATTTCCAAGAAGAAAATTGAGATTGTGTGATTAGGCATGCCACAATACTTGAATCATCAGAGAGAAATACGCGTAATAAATATTTTAAAAGCTTGTTTTATGGTAAACAAAATTAAAATGCTAGGCTTCAAAAATCAGTCTAAGATGGTCTGCAGAGACTAACGTTCTGCTTTTATGAAATATATAATATACAAATCAGTATTTGTTTATATTTGTATAAGCGTAGCTGTTGGTTTATTCTTACAATGCATATTGGTTTATTGATATAATATAAACATGCTTTAAAGAGATTTTAAATCATTTTGTTTTTATAAAATTATTAAATAAAATGTAATTTTACAGAAAACAACGTAATGATAATAACTTCCCAAGTTAACAGTATTTTTCACAAAGTACTTTGTCTTTAAAATTGCCCTTTCAGGCGTTTTTAGCAGTTATATATTATCTCCAATCATTTTAATTGTTCGAATAGAGAAAACATCCATCGTCGCTGGCGCTAAGGTGAATGCACGGTTTATGCATAAAAATAGTACATGTCAATCCTAATATTAAGTTGCAATAACTATTTCATATTTTGCCAGATATGACCTTTCTGATGAAGAAATAAAATGGTAGGAGATTCCATTAGACATACATTTAATGTGCGACATTATTTAGAATAGTTCACAATGAGGCCAATGATTATTTTCCTTACGATTTTCATTTACCGATTTCCACTTTCAACAAAAGAGTAGTTTATATAAGAGTCATTTTATAAAAAGGATTTTATTGTCATAAACATCTTTTGTACAGTTTTTTTTCATATAAAGCGCAGCCTAGTTAGCTTGAATTTAAATTAGTAAATGCATTTCAAATTAGATAAGCATTTCAAAACAAGGCAATATTTAAACGTGTAACCTATGTTACAAGGCGAATCTCAGACATTCATGTATATACTTTTGTATAATTCAATAACATTTCAGCATTCAGTCCTTAAATTGTATATTAAGTCTTAGTGACACCTGTTTCACTAAAACATTGTATAACAATTAATGCCATTTAATGTATATGACTTTATATAACACATGTGTTTGGAGAAAGGCGGGCTATTTTCCCTAGGTGAGGTCCAAGAATCTTTATCGTTGAGAAACACAATTATTAACTCTTAACATAATTGAATGTTATTATCATCTTGCCAAACAGTTTGTCCTCTTTAATCATTGTTTATTTTTAAAAAAAATGTTAATAATTTGTATGTTTTCGCATGCCATGTGACTGTGTTTAATCAAATCTTTTGTTAACAAGACGATGTACATATGTATAAGTCTGGAAATAAGATTATGTTCTATTCTGTATAATATAGGAGACTTCTTTAAATGTCAATCAGGCAATGCTTCGTGTCAAATTAACTCTTTCATTTTACAATAATAATAATAATATGTTTTCTTC